TCCCAAGCATGCTTGTCACCTATCACATTGGTCAGATGGTATCTGTTTATTCGTGTCTCTCCCACACTAGCCGATCAGCTCCTCGGGCAGGAACAGAGTCATTTTCCTCTTTGTACTCCAGGGTCCCCCAGTGCCTGGCACACAGTAGGTACATAAACCATATTTGTTGAATGAAACACAGGAGGGTAAACAGAAAGAGGGGCTTTCATTTTTCATTTCTGCAGGAGAAATGAGGGCAGAAGGTGAAGGGTGGAGTTACCCTGTGGGTAGATACCCAAAGAAGATTCTGGGCCTAGAAAAGCAGTGATGGTAACACACGGTAAGGAACCTAGGAGGCATTGGAAAGAGTGGTTCATCCTGGATGGCATTAGAGCCCCTCCTTCTCCTGCCATCATATTCTGTTTCTTTCTTTCTGAAATATTGCCTCTCATTCTACCAGTGCCATTGTATTGGGGCTTGCATTGTTGGATGACTTAAATTCAAAGTTGTCATTCTCTGTCATTCTCTCATGTCCTTAATGTTGTGTGTAGGTTGTGTTCCCTTATGACAGGGGACCAAGGGGGTCTCTGGAGATTGGGTGGGTCAGGATTCTGTATCCAGAAAACCTAAGTCTATCTGAGAATTTCAGGGATGGCTCCAAAAAGGAGCTGGCATTTGGACTGTGACTTGAAGGATGAGTAGGAGTTTATCAAGATGATGGAGGAGCCCAGTGTATTCAGTAATCCACAGAACTGTGGACTGTAGATTAAAACCACCCACTTTAAGTGAGGACAGGGTAGCTGTCCAGAGAATTAGGAGGCGTGATGGGAGAAGTGGAGTTTGCACTGGACATTTAACAGACTCTGTTTACATTATACGTTTAACAGACCCAGAGAGTACACTCTGTGGAACTATATGCATATTTTAAATTATAAAACTCACTATCTTTAATGCAGTCACTCTGGTGGTTTCATATGCCACCATTATAAGAAGCCAAGTAGTTAAGTATGTAGAGCCTGGAGTCAGATTGCCTGGACTTAATTTTCAAATGTACCTTGTATCAGCTCTGTGACCTTGCACAAATGACCTGGTATCTCCATCCCTCAGTTACATGATCTGTAAAAATGGGAATAAGAATTGTATCTCTGCTAAGGTTTGAATGTATCTCCCAAAGTTCATGTGCTAGAAACTTAATCCCTAATGCAACAGTGTGGAGACGTGGGACCTCTGAAAGGTGATTAGGTCATGAGAGTTCTGCCCTAATTGATGGGTTAATGGAGTTATCTCAGGAGTGGGTTTGTTAGGGTGGGAGTAGAGTCCTGGTAAAAGGATGAATTCAGCCTCCTTTCTCTCTCTGCTCTCTCTTGCCATTCCAGTCTCAGGTATTGTGTTATAGCAGCATAAAATGGACTAAGACATTCACTCACAGCAAATCATAGGGATACGTGAGTCAATACACATGAAGCCCTTAGAACAGTGCTCAGCATATGACAAACATTCACTATTAAGTGTTATTATGACTTTCTTTCTCATGAGGTTGTTTGAAATCACCAGTCATGTACTTTGTGCATAATCCCATGATAGTAATTATACAATTTTAGTTATTCATTTGTGTGTGGTTTCTCAATGGACTGTGAATTCCTCAAAGGCATTACTTGAATAAATGTCTCTTTCCAAAGTAATTGAATTCGTGCTTTCAAGCATATTTCCTACTTACTATATTTATATATTAGTAATCTAAGGGGAGGGCTTCTCATAGAATTTTAACTAGAAAACATTATTTGGAAACTCCTTTTCTTAGGCTGGAAAATCCTTGGACACAGAAGCTTTATCTTTTCTATAAACTCATGCTGGCCCCCTGAGACTACTGCTGGGAAACTTTCCCTATGGAGGTGCTATAGTTTGGATGTGTGTCCCCTCCAAATCTCATATTGAAATTTGATCCCTGATGTTGGAGGTGAGGCCGAATGGGATGTGTTTTGGTCAAGGGGATGGATCCCTCATGTATAGATTAATGCCCTCCCTGGGGATGGTGGAGTGGTGAATGAGTTCTCACTCTAGTAGTTCCTGAGACAGCTGGTTGTTAAAAAGAGCATAGCACCTCCTTTCTTTCACCTCCTTCCTTTCTTATTCTTTCTTCCTCTTTCATCACATGATCTCTGTACATGCCAGCTCCCTTTTGCTTTCTGCCATAAGTGGAAGCAGCCTGAGGCCCTCACCTAATGCCCAATCTTGAACTTTTCTGGACATCAGAATCCTGAGCCAAACAAACCTTTGTTCTTTATAAATTACCCAGTCTCAGATATTCTTTTATAGCAGCACAAAATGGACTAAGACAGGAGATTTTACCATATTCAAAAAGATTCAAAGAGCCCAGGTTAATAAGAAATATCTGAATCCTATCAGTTTGGCTAGAAATTTTTAGCAGAGCCTTGTTGCAAAACTTTAAGCCTAAGCAAAGAAATTTCTGCTAAAGGGCCTTAACTCCTGAGAATTGGGAAAATTAAGTCAAATGGAGGTCAGACATCATATGCACCTGAAGAAGCTGTACTGATTTTCCATGTTGGCTTGTATTATTTGATTTTGAGAAAAAAGGGCATGTGAGATTTTTTTTTTCTTTTTGAGTCCATGAAAGATAGAGTTGCCTTAAGAGATTGGCTCTAAAGTCTGCAGGACCCAGAAAGCTCTCTGCAAAGGCTAGACCAGAGCCCAGGAATGTGCAGAACTGGATAGGATTGGGACTGGGCATGAGATGGGGGGCTCTGACCCTAACAAAAGGTGGTCACATGACCCACCAGATTGCCAGACAGATCCAAATTCTAGTTCTGTCTCTCCCTAGCCACACAGCCTTCTTCTGGCCTAGGTCTCTTTCGCAGTTTGAGGGATTGGTGTAGATTACCTCTAAGGTTTTGTTTCCAGGGTTAAGATTCTAGTCCTGCCTCAGCAGTGTTGGACACGGTTTAGGTTGCACCAGGTGGCAGTTATAGCCAAGCCTCCCACATTGTCCAACATCCCCAGAACCATTGTCTCCAAACTGCTCTGTGAAAACCCTGATTTGACAGAGTTCCACCCAGCCTTCCCACCAGGACTCAGGAAGCTCCACTCTCTTGTTAGCAACTCCCAGAAGCCTCAGCCCCTTCACCATCTTGCCCCACTTACCTGAAACCAGGTTTTCTCTTGCAACCTCCTGAGTGGAGGCTGTTTGTTCTCTCTCAGCCCCTGTATCTCAGGCCTGGCATGGGGCTAGGTCTCCTCTTTGCTCCATTGCCCCTCCCAAGTCACCCTCTTTCTCCCTCCCTCAGAGCTCCAGCTCCCTTGAAGATCTCTCCTCAGATTCTATTCAGCCCCTCATCCTGTCACTGCTGTCTTCTCCTAACCTCCCAGTCATCCCTTCTCATTTGAGGAAGACACGAGAGCCTGGCTCACTATTTATCCCTCCATCCCAACTCCTGTCACTATCTTTGGTGACTTGAACATCCACACGGACAATTGTGATGACACTGTAGCCTTTGGGCATCTCAACCCCCTCATCCTATGATCCTTCCCTCCACACAGGACATACACACTCAAGTACTTGTTGACACCATGTAGACAATGGGCCCATTGGAAGAGGTTTCATTTATCTTCAAAATTATAATACCTATAACTAGGATGGTCATATAATTTATTTTCCAACTGGGGACAGTTTTGTGAATGAAAGAGGATACCAAAATAATTAAAATTTTGGAAATAATTACTTATTGATGACAAATTGGTTTTTATCTTAAGGCCCCTATAAAATATATTTTAAAATCATTTTCCAAAATAAATGTAAAGAAAATCAAAATAAGTTATACATTAAAGCAGTATTGAAAATTCCTTTATGGGAATTATCTTCACATTCAAAAACATAGGCAGAATAATTATTTCTAGTCCTTATTTAAGTTTTTAGATTAGTTTCTTAGCTGAGTCTGCCACTAATAGAGTGCCACTGGCATCTTTTTGAAGAATTCTCTTTTTAAAAATAGATTTCATATTTTGAAGTTTTTGGACAAAACTGCTTACAATTGCATTCAAAGTAAATTATAGCTAATAAATTTGAAATTGCTGACACTTTTAATTGATTCTTCTCTGTAGACCACAATATTTTTAATTGACAATATAGTCTCTCTTTAGGTACTAAGAGATTCAGTGAGCTCTGTACAAATTCTGCTAATTGGATGATATCCTCAATTCTAATTTTTATGTAAATATTTTGTCCCAAGTATTGACCCAATTACTATCTTTTTGCCTCCAATCACAAAAGTATTCTTCAACACACATTTTTATAAAACAGAACCTATCAATTATATCATCTCTATTTATGATTCTTTTGAACGTTTACCTATCACACATGTATCGCACCTTTGGATAGATGAGTCCTTGGAGAAGCTGGAAGCAAAAAGTGAAGTTCAACCAAACTCATCCCAGCTTACGCAACTATCAATAATAATATCTAGTTAACAAATGAAAAGTCCAGGACAAATGCTAAACAGGATGGACACAGGACAACAGGTGGAAATAGACCCTCTCCCAGGAAACACCCCTCAGGGGTAGCTCAGCAGTTCTCAATCCTGGCAGCATATAAAAATCACCAGACAACTCCTGAAACATGCCAGTGTTTAGGCTCTAATCCTAAACACATAGATTTCACTGGTATTGGGACGAGGCCTGGGAACCAGCATTTTTGTCTCCCAAGGGATTCTCATGTGCAACCTATGGCACCACTTTTAAGCAAGATCAACTTGGTCCTCCAGCACCAATTGCTCCTAAAGCAATATGTTGCAAGTATTCATGGATTCAGACAATAGTTGGGAGGAGGAGGAGGCAGAGGGGGAAATCAGGACAAGCTATGCCACTGCACATTTTCTCTGCACCTCCCCGGGTGTGTTGACACATTGGGCCAGGAGTGAGCCCACAGCAGGTGCTCTGGGAAATGAGAAAAGGGAAGGATGGCCTCAGCACAAACCCTGTGTACACTACACATGACACAGCCAGAAATATTGCATGTAATCCTTTTAAACATTTAATTAAGCAACTCCAACATTGTCATGACAAAAATGAAACTTGTTGAGGGCTACAGAGTTCTAATGAGAAATAAAAATAACGAAATCTCACGAAAGCTCTATTTAAGCCCAATCGTAAATGCTGCACTCTCTTCTGAAAGTTTATTTTGAAAATAATTTTCAAAATGTAAAACCCCCAGCACCCTCAAATAATGTATCATTTTGGCTCATTCTACAAATTGGTGAGCATCTTTCTAACTCCAAGTTTTGAAGTATGAAAAACCATGATGGCAAAGAATAATAACAGTGCCTCTGTTTCCCCAAGCCCTATCCAAGCCTTGCTGGGCCCCACGTGCGCCCTGTATAGCATTGGGCGTTGTCCAAAGAGTCAGTGAGCGAAGCAGCATTTGCTGGTGCTTTGCCTGTTCTGATTTCAGTTCCGAGGCTGTGAGTTGAACTCTGTACAAATGTTCTGGATGATCCTGGGGACATACTGGTAGAGGTTGTCAAAGTCATCCACAAAGAAGGAGTGGTCCCTGGCGGGGTGAGTGGCGATGACTTCTAGCTCCTCCTGGGCAGCCCATGCAACGCCTACTGCATAGGTGATCACTCCTGTGGGGACAAAGATTAGATGAAGCAAATGTCCTCAAGAAAAGGTACTGCTAGTGAGCCCTTGCCTTCTTGTTCCTCTGTTGGCACAACCATATCTAAAATCAGAAAATGCCCCCAAAACAAAACAAAAACAAAAAACCCTATAGGACTCTAGGTTTTCAGAATTAAGACTAAATATGACTCTGGGAGGCCGAGGCGGGTGGATTGCTCAACGTCAGGAGTTCCAGACCAGCCTGAGCAAGAGCAAGACCTCATCTCTACTATAAATAGAAAGAAATTAATTGGCCAACTAATATATATAGAAAAAATTAGCCGGGCATGGTGGCGCATGCCTGTAGTTCCAGCTACTTGGGATGCTGAGGCAGGAGTATCACTTGAGCCCAGGAATTTGAGGTTGCTGTGAGCTAAGCTGATGCCACGGCACTCACTCTAGCCTGGGCAACAAAGTGAGACTCTGTCTCAAAAAAAAAAAAAAAGACTAAATAGGGCTATTCATCCATTCACTCACTAAGTACCTTAGAGCATCCACAATGTGGCAACAGTAACAAAATTAATATAGTTGCAAGATCAGGAGTTGATAGTCTTTTGGGGAAAAAATGAACAAAATAGAGTAAATACATGGTAAGAATTTCATGTCCATGAGCAGAAGAGGAGAAGATATTTTGAGACAAATGAAACTTCTGGGACCATGCAGAACACACTACATGACATATGCTTGCTTAACCCATGTGGAGGCCAAACAGAACCTCAGGGAGTCTTAACTGCATGAAAAGATAGTTCAAGGTCTTTTCAACTAAAGCAGTAAAATTGAATCCCTTTAGGCTTGAGGGTGGCTTTGTAAGCCATTGACTCCAACCTCATTCCCAAGAGCACTTGCCCAGGGCCACACAGAGATGGTCACCCTGCATCTGCTCCATCACTGTCAAGAGAGAAAGAGATCAAGATAAAGAAGGGATGCCCAACAAAGTTGGATGCTGCAGGGAGGTCATGTAAGAGAAAACAAAAAGTGTTCAGTGGGTTTAGAAAAAGCAAAACCAAAACCAACTGGTAGCTTGGTGAGAGCAGTTTCAGGGGGAGGAGATCCCAAAGAAGCCAGATGAACCCCTGTGAGTTGGGCGTGAAAAAGAAGTGAAGATGTGCCATTGGCACAGACAGCTAATCCTCTCCCAAATGTTGGCTGTGAAGGAGAGAAGGCAAGTGGTACCTGGAGCAGAACACAGGGCCAAAGAGAATGTTTCAGTTTTAGGAGGGGCAGGACTTGAGCGTATCTAGATGCAAATGAGAAAAAGTAGCGTGGGAATGAAGGTGTCGGATTGCAATGGGGAGCAAGATGCCCCGTGGAGGAGAGGACAGGATTCAGAGACTTGGCATCCATTCCTAGTGGGGATACTTGGAAGCCTCCTGGGATGCTGGTGGTTGATTTGGGGTGGGGGCAGCTGGTCAGCAGGTGCTTGACCTTACCCTACAAAAGCCTATTCCCACACTGCCTTCAGGCTGGCTGAGTGCGGTGAGGAAAACAGCCATGAAGCAGAGGGCAGAGCCTGGGTATGGCTGTCCTGCCCCCTGCACCCCGAAGTGTCCCATCTCACTGTCTCTGGCATCCACTGGGAGCTCTATCCTGCTGATTGGAGAGCCGTGTGTGCCTCGGTGCCTCTGGTCTAAGTTGCTTTTCAACTGTGATCCATTAAGCTGCATTTATGCTGCCAGTCCCTTTTCTCTCCTGAGTTCTTTTCTCTGAATATTGTCTAGATCGGGAGTAGCCAGCTTTGGGCTTTAAGATGCTGCCACGTGGCAGTGAAAGAAGCTTTGCTGCAGAGCTGGGCTTAGATTGGCTATACCCTCCTTTCTGTTCAAAGATAGAAAGGCTGCCCCCTAATAAAAACTACACAAACAGTATTAGAGGTTTAGCTTTTCAGATCTCAAGTCCAGCCTTGTTGTAGGGAACCTCCACCTGGCGGTTCTGGCAGAGGGTCACCCGCCTTGACTGGGAGACTCCCAGGGACACAATGCTATTTACATTGCAGACAAATCTTGGTGTTAGGCTGAGTAGGAACCAGCCTGCAAGTCATTTGCATCTATTGGTCCGATTGATTAAGGCTGCTCAAAATACGATACCCTGAGAGCTCGAGGGACACTCCCCGCAGTCTTCACTTTTCCTGACAAATAGGCCAAGGATATCCTGTGGGTGAGTCCCAAAGAGGTACATCTACAAAAACACGGGAAGCTGGGGCTGAACACGGGTTGGGGATGGATGCCCAGAGAAAGTAGGGGAGCCCCGGGCTTGCAGTCGAGAGCGGGCCCATCCGCCTCTGCCCACTCACTTTGGGACAGGTTTCTCCAGAGTCTCAGGCCATCTTCAGCCTGCTGCTATGAGCACCAGGGCCCTGTGATCGCTGGCACGCAGGCCATCAGTCATCCTGCCACCAGGAGGGTGCCCCAGGGGACCCGCAGAGGGTAAGTCACCGGGAAGACTCTGCCTGAACCCGGTGTCTGGTTACTTTGGTTTCCAGAGCCAGCACTGCTGATTCATTAAGGCTTGTTTTAGGAAGGATTTAAAGCAGCTTTCAAGAACACAGAAAGTCCTGCAAAATAACCCACGTTAAAAATGTAGGCTCAGAAGAAAAAAACAAACAACCACAGCACTGAGTGAGGTCTGCACACTAGTGCTTATTTACAGGGCTTTGGTGTTCACTGGCCACTTGCTTTACTTTTATTATTACTGTTATTATTATTATCACTTCAGGTTTTCTCCTAGTTTATACTTTTTTGATATTTTATGGCACAGTGATTGTACATAGGTTCTACAATGAAGGCATAATTGGTGACTGATTTTCTAAACATTTACAAAATGTTTATATTTATAAAAATATTTTGCTAATTTTTCATTTTTTAAATTTTCTGTTGCCTTTTAGGAATTTTTATCTGCAAATATTTATATCTATCTATATCTATATCTATATCTATCTATCTATCTATCTATATATTTTTTTGAGACAGGGTCTGGCTCTGTCACCTGGGCTACAGTACAGTGGTGTCATCATAGCTCACTGCAACCTCCAACTCATAGGCTAAAGAGATTCTCCTGCCTCAGCCTTCCAAGTAGCTGGAACTACAGGCACATGTCACCATGCCTGGCTAATTTTTCTATTTTTTATAGAGACACAGTCTCACTATTGCTCAGGCTGATCTTGAACTCCTGGCCTCTAATGATCCTCCTGCCTTGGCCTCCCAAAGTGCTAGGATTACAGGCATGAGCCACTGCACCCAGCCATCTTTAAATATTTTGAATCAAAATTTCTTTGAAGTTTCCTCCAAACCCCTAACATCTGGTTAACAGTTGCTTACAAAAATAGTGTGTTTCATTAAAAACATAACTTTTCCTTAAAAGGTACTAACACAATTTGGTGATCTAGGTACTGACACAATTTGGTATCTTCAATAGAGAAAGAGATTTGGTGTCTTTAATAAAGATACAGTAAGGAGTCTAATCCCCTTTTTAATGTAGCTTACCCTGGTGGGCAATGCCTTGGGCAGGGGGATGTAGAGGAAAGGGTTAATGTTCCTGTCATTAAAAATCCTTGGGTTTGCCATGACACTTTGGAAGCTCCCTTGTTGCCCTGTCCTTGTTCCCTCTTTCTATTCCAAGGAGCCTACAGTGTTTAAACCCCTGATACTCTCTCTATGGTCTTGAACATGTTATTATTATTATTTTTTGAGACAGAGTCTCGCTTTGTTGCCCAGGCTAGAGTGAGTGCCGCGGCATCAGCCTAGCTAACAGCAACCTCAAACTCCTGGGCTCAAGCAATCCTTCTGCCTCAGCCTCCCCAGTAGCTGGGACTACAGGCATGTGCCACCATGCCCGGCTAATTTTTTCTCTCTATATTTGTTGTCCAATTAATTTCTATTTGTAGTAGAGACGGGGTCTCCCTCTTGCTCAGGCTGGTTTCAAACTCCTGACCTCGAGCAATCCGCCCGCCTTGGCCTCCCAGAGTGCCAGGATTACAGGCGTGAGCCACCGCGCCCGGCCTTGAACATGTTATTAAGTTGTAGACAAAACTAACACATAAAAGGACAGCACCTTCCCCGCCACACTGGCCCACCGAGCCCAGAGAGATGCGCAGCCCGGCCGGCTGGCGGGCGCGGCTCACCCTTCAGGTGGGCAGCCAGGGCAGGTATCCGGACGTCGTCGTAGGACCTCCCGTCGGTGATGAGGATCATCAGCTTCCTCTTGTTGGGCTTGGACTTCTTGAAGAGCTGTTCCAGGGCGTAGTGGATGGCGGCGCCGGTGCTCGTGCCGCCGCTCCAGTACCCCACCCTCTTGAGGGCGCCGAGGACGTCGGCCTTGCTGCTGTACCTGTCGAACCCGAACTCCAGCCGCTGCTCGTAGGTGTACTGCACGGCCCCGACGCGCGTGTCCGTGTCGGAGATCTCAAACTCCCTGCTGAGGTTGGCCACGAACTGGAGCACGGTGCGGAAGTTGCCGGTGCCCACGCTGCTGGAGCCGTCGATGACGAAGCCCACGTCGGCCGAGTTCAGGCAGGTCTTGCTGCAGGCCAGGCGCTCGGCGTCGCACACCCGCTTCACCAGGGGCTGCAGGGTCTTGTGCAGGCCGAACCAGCTCTGCACGTGGAACGAGTAGAAGCCGTTGGTTCTGCACACAGCCTGGAAGACGGAGGGGAGGACCCCAGCCAGGTCAGGCTCACGTCCCCCAGTGTCACCACCGCGCCCCCCGGTCACAGGTGGCCGCGGGTGAGGAGGCTGACGCTTGCTTTCTCCATCTGGCTCACCCGCCAGACACTCGCTGAGGCAAAGACCCCCCGGTTATCTCTGGACTCACTCCCACCCCCTCGGCTGGTCTCTGCGTTAGCGGCAAGCGGACCACTAAGCCCATTCACGGGGAGACGGAAGTCACTGGTTTCAGCTTCACGCTTCTGCCCCTCCAAGCCCCTCGATTCCCTTGCCCCGCGGCCAGCCATGGGACCCGCACTGGCGGCCACCAGCGCGTGAGAGGATTAGAGAGAGTGACTGTTCTGACTGGGAAAACAGAAGACACACAAGGGGCAACTCAAGAGATGTTTCCCAGGCAGTCCTGTGCCCGTGGGAAGGGGTCCCATAGTTGCTGAATGGCCGTATGTGTCAGGGGTCCCCTTAGATGCTCTCGGAAAGATTGTCTCATTAAATCTCCACCTAAACCCTACCCGGTGGAATTACAACCCCTGTCAGGAAGGAACATAAAGCGAAGGCCAGCTGTGAAGGGACTTCCCTGAGTCCCTGAGACTGGAACACAAATCTGTCCACCTTCAAACCAGAGCTCTGCCCTCCAGGCGACCCTGCCTCCAGGCCAATGAATATTTATTTACTTGTGCCTAAGCTGGTTCCAGAAAAAAGATGAAGGCAGCTGCAAATAAACACTGAGCAAGCCGGCCGGTGTGCTCCTGGGACTGGGCTGGTGTTCCTAAGGTGCAGCGTCTCTTCCTCACCCCTGCCTCTGGGTCACAGGAGTCAGACTCGGTGACTACATGTGAACTTATGTAATTTAAAAAAGAGAGGGAGAAAAAAGAGATGGTTTAGAACTTTCCTAGGAAATATTTTTTTCCTTGACTTGTATAAAGCTGACAGGTTCACAGAACTTTCCAGGGACTAGGCGGCATGTGAGATGAGGGCCTCGACTGAGCTGAATTCTGACTGACAGACAGAGGCGGGATTCCCACCAGGCAGTAAAGTCAGGGCAGGAGAGAGCAGCGGTGCTGGCAGTGGACAGAGGACCAGGTGACTGGTGCACAGGGCCTGTGGCGGGTCACAGTTGCTGGGCCAGGAAGGTGGGTTTGGACCACCCTCCAGAAAGCCTCAAGAGCAACAGGGAACCCTGACAGGTTTGGAGCAAGGACCCCATAGGACTGGAGAAACCCATTATAAACATGCTGTGGGCTCCGTTGTGAAATCTACGCTAAACTGGGAGAGCCAGGAGGGAGCCACACTGCCACCGAGCACTAGCTTGAGCTAGGCAGGCAGCATCAGCGTGGGGAAGCGCAGAGACGAGAGAGAAGTGACAGGGGCATTGATGAGGGATTCTGCGATGACCGTGCCCTCTGGGATGGGAGTGGGGCCACCACTGTCAAGTCCACAGGAAGAAAGAGTCTGGGTGGGGAAGATTATGAACCTGGCCTGTTACAGGCAGGATTTAAGGTCCTGACAGGACATCAGGTGGAGAAAAGTCAGTTGGCTGGAAACAGATGGCGGGAGGGCCCGAGAGACAAGGCTGCAGCTGTGGCCCTGGCGGGGATTCTGGAGGGAGCAGCCCCGTGAGGGAAGAGGAGGGTGCCAGTGGCTGAGACCCACGGACGTGTACAAGACAGACAAAAGCAGAGAGTAAGTGAAATAAGAACCATGTGGCATCCTGGACATCGTGGATACGGGACTTTCAAGGAGCAGACAGTGGTCAGCAGTGTGGGACAGGGCAGGAGGTTGAGCGCTGTTGGCTCTGAACGTGCAGAATGTTAAAGCTGGAAGGGCCTCAGGGACAACCCACCCCGAGGCTGGCTGGGTTTTTTGAAGCTTTTGAGATGGTGTATGTACGCTCGTGTGCGTGCTCGTGTGCACGTGTGAAGGCTGGTCCTCGGGTGCACGTCCTCTGGGCCGCCCGGGCGAGGCCCCCAGGGCAGTGGCAGGAGCAAGGGAGCACCTCTACGTGAGACCTGGGGACACCGCTCCTCCCCTCTCCTCCCACGCTGCTGGGCTCGGGTGGGTGTGGGGTTTTGCTGTGAGAGGGTAATTCCAGGTTCTAGACCTATGAGTCCCTCCTTGGAGGCCCAGCTGCCTAGAAGCGAGCTCCACACACGTTGACAGGAACGAGAAAACCCCGATGGCGTCACAACTTGTCAGAGTGCAGGGAAGCCTCACGCTGGGTGGGTCGTGGGCAGTTATAATGCATACCTTGTTCACAAAGTTGGGCTCCAGCACGTACTGCTTCTCATTTTCAACAGCACCTTCAATGGCGATGAAGAAAATGTTGATTCCTGACTCCCTTGCAAGTCTCGAAGCCTCCTCCACTTTGTCTGTGGGCCAGCCGTCCACCAGCACCACGGCCACATTGGGAGGGCCGCCTCTGTTTCCATTGGCTTTGGAAAAGAAGTTCTTGGTCACAAAGGAGATGGCCCGGCCTGGAAGAAAAAGAAAACCCCCACTTGGAGTGAGCATGCTGACTATAAATACAGGAACAGATCACAGCACACAAAGAGGTCCAAAAAAACACACTCATGCCTCCCCAGTTTGTTTATTTCTTGTCTTCAAGCCACTTTAACTATTTTTAGGTGTACAAGTCAATGGCATTAATTATGTTTGCAGTGTTGTGTGACCATCACCACTATCCATTTCAGTTTCATTTCAAACCTTTAACAACTACTTCTTCCTCTTCTCCTCCTCCTCCTCCTTCTCCTGCATGGTAGCAAAATAGAATTCTTGGAATCTGGATCACGTACGTACCTGCATTAGCAAGCCCTCCTCTCTGGGAAATCTTCTCTATGGCTGTCTTCAGATCACGTGAATTCGTGTGAGTCCTGAGGTTAAAGTGGGTGGCAGGGTTGTCTCTGAAGAGTCAGAGCAAGAAATAAAAATTAGCTGAAAATTTGTTACCTTTTCATGCCTGTAATCCTAGCACTCTGAGAGGCCGAGGTGGGAGGATCGCTTGAGGTCAGGAGTTTGAGGCCAGCCTGAGCAAGAGCGAGACCCTGTCTCTACTAAAAATAGAAAGAAAATAAGTGGCCAACTAGTATATATATAGAAAAAATTAGCCGGGCATGGTGGCGCATGCCTGTAGTCCTAGCTACTGGGGAGGCTGAGGCAGCAGGATCGCTTGAGCCCAGTAGTTTGAAGTTGCTGTGAGCTAGGCTGACGCCACAACACTCTAGCCCAGGCAACAGAGTGAGACTGTCTCCAAAAAAAAAAAAAATTCTTCCTTTAGAGGAAGACAGAAATCACGGTTGATTCTCTTACATGCAAATAGAATGGAAGCTGCTTCAAAGCCTTATGCAGTGGTTTGCAAAATGTCCCACTGTGGACTGAGGACCTGCTCAGTGTGTGTAGAGAAAAGCAGGCGTTTCAGGACTCCGAAGGCACGTGTTCGACTTTTACTGTGTCATTTCCTAGCAGTGTGATCTTGAGAAGACACTTAACTTCTCTGGCATTCAGTTTCCTCATCTAGATAAAAGCATCATGAAAACATCCATATTGCTACTGAACAGGGCTATTGTCGAGTGGGGCTCTGCAAATGTACGGGTCCCATCTATGGAGGGCCAGTGTCCCCAGGCTGCCCAGACCCTCCTCTCCAGGAAGAGAATCTCAGCAGTTAGCTGCTCCGGGGTCACTCCTAGCACTGGAATTGCACGTGAATATGATGCCAAGGAGACCACTCTACCTTCTCAGCTTGTGGCTCTGTGACTGGGTTCTATTTAAATCTCACGCAGAAGTCAACATCTACTTTTATTGAAACTGACAAAGAGTAACTGGGGAGGAGTGGGAGTGAATTCAGTGGAGGAACACAATGAGAGTCCTTCTCTAGAGACGAGTCTCTGCTGGGCAGCTGAGTGGCGCCTGCAGGTGGGTGCACACCTGTGCTCAGATGCAGCAGGAATGCGTCCAGGCTCAAACTCCGGACCCATCTTTGCTTACTGATAAAGCCCATCAGTCCCGCCCCTCAGGCCCTGGCAACTCCTCTGCATACATCCAGTCACTTTTAGCCCTCCTCACTGGAACCCCCCCCGGGGTTCAGGCCCCCTGCTTCTGGCTGATTCTAACATTGTCTACGTTTCTCTGCAACGCAGTCGTATGCTCATCTGCTACAGAACTCTTCCCCATTTCTCGTCTCAGCTCTGACGACAGAGTTCCTCTGCTCAAAAATCATCAAGTTCCCTTGTTAAACTTGATATTTTGGCTTTCAAAGCACCTTAGTTCAACTCCAACCTATGTTGTTAATGCTGCTCTCTCTTTTTTTTCTCTCTCTCTTCCTTCTCTCCTGTCTACTTTCACTCTCTTTCTCCTTCTTTTTTCAGAATATCTTATATTCTAGTCAAAGGAACTCTCACACTGTTTCCCAGTTTCTAGCTTGTGCCTTTGCTTATTTCTCAACTCATCTGGAAAGCCAAATCGTGCCCACTCTCCCCGGCCTTCAGCGACCTGTCTCCCTAACCCCCACCCCCAGCTGACAATCTCTCTGCCTGACTCAGCTTTCTCCAACCTACAACATCTTGCAATAATGTGTGGCGCCCACAGGTACTCAATTAACAGTATTAATATTGCTTCGTTCTATTTCTGTGGTCTCTACCTCTAAACGTTGGTTCCTAGGGTGCTAGCTTCATCATGCAACTCTTTACTTATGCACTTCCCTGGGAGATCTTGCCAACTCCCGGGGTTCATGACTGTTCACTGTGCCAACAGCTGTCCAGTGCAACTGCTGGTCCTCTCTCTTGAACCCCAAATATACGTAAATAGTTTTCATATAGGTCCCTCTGGAAGCACCAATATTATAAATATTTTTTTTATCCTGATGTCGTTTATCCTCCAGCCTTCTCTCCCCAACCACCCATTCTTCTCCGTGTATTCCCTCTTCTGACTCATTGGGTTTTCCTAGCAATGTGTGATCTTGAACTCTCCCCATCAAATACCACGTCCTGTCATACCTGTCCCTTAAATACTCTCGTATTTTTCCCATCCTTTCCATCTCCAATTTGGATTTTTATCTTCTCTTTCCTGAACTATTGCCCCTAGATTCTACCTGGTCTTCCTGTTCCCAGGGCAGCCTCTGCATGGCTATTTTATCCGACTGGCATCTAAGGTCTTCATAGAAGCATTCCCAGGAAGAGTTAATAGCCTCTTCCAAGGGCCTAATTTTGTATATACTTTGTATTTTTGTGTTCTTTATCTTAAGAAGGCCCCCAAGTGTATAAGCTTCGAGTCCCCAAACTCTGAATCTTTCCCTTGGACCAGGATTATAAATTTTTCAAAGCCTAAAAAATGAGTTCAAACAACAAACAATTAGTGGCTACAAAATAAAAATTATAAAATCGACAACTGACAATAATAAATATATAACAGTCCATCAAGATAACACTCTATACACTTCATTATCATACAATTTTAATTATAAAATTAATTACATTAAAAAATTATTTGTGGGCTAGATTTTTTCACCTTGCATAATTTCCTGAGTGTCTGATGATTGTCAAGAAATCACAGACAAAAATTTAAAAAGCAAAAAATATAAAATTCTTTCAAAGTTTTTATAGACATAATGTATTTAATGTGAAGTTAATCATCTAGTCATTCTATGATGTTCTAATATTATCATTAAGGCACTGCTTAATGTTGATCACGTCTTTGGAGGGCAATGTTATTACCATCATTTCCGCATACCACACAATATCGAGTTTGGCTATTCTTGGTAGTCTATGATTCGTATAAAGTTGCTGTGAGCACTGAATTGGCAGTACTGACCATTGCTCCCACTGGGAAATATAGGGTTTGTTCTGTTAGTTTGCTGCACCATGTTTTCATCAAAAAGATCATATATAACCTTATGTTATGTATGTTTCTCTTGAAGAGACCTAAATTTGATATTTCTTACGAAATAATAATTGTATGCAGTATTCCTCCTTAAAATAAAACATTAATGAGAAGGGCTTAACATTTGCTGACCTTGGATACATGTGATTATAAATTTCTTTGGCTTTTAGCCTCCACAACAATGCGTGTCCCACTAGCTTTTTTAAAAAATTCCAGTCAGTCTCCTCCTGACTCTGTTAAGTTTAGTCTCTTCTCATAGCTTCATCCACACCTATATGGATGTTCATTTTAGTGCTTTCTGAGTAGACTCTTGTACAGACAAGCAAATTTCCCTCTCCTTGTTTCTGGATGTACAAAATTTATTGATTTCATTAACATTGGCTCATGACTAACAGCACAGCAACTCCTATCTTAAACGAAGTTATGGAACACAACATTTCTCTGTAACCACAGCACAGCCTTCTTCCACTAGGACCACGAAGACACCATTCCAGTACTAACTTGGGAGGCACTGTAAATAGTAAAATCACTAGACAGCAACAAAATGAGGAAAATGGGCACTAAAAACGACTGTGAAGGGCACTTAACAGAGTGACCAAAAAGGCAGAGTGTTTCTTGTTTGACCTAGCTGGGAACGGTGTGCATGGGAATCCAATGTTTTTCTATCTCTGTGCATGTCCATAATGACTGTGAAGTTGTTTTGAGTTACAAATTCGGTTCCAAATTAAATTTAGGAGTAGGCAAATTCACAAATGTGGAAACCCACAAGTCATGAGGATTGACCTGTAACCTACTTGACAGCAGGATTCTCTCCCTAGCTCCGGTCCCTATGAGCTTAGCACTCAGGGTAAGAAAGTAAGGTACGTGGATAAGTAAAAAAAGAAAGCAACTCAGATGTCCTCCCTCTCTTGGTTCATCCCTGTGGAGCTGGAATATGCTGCCTCTTGAGCTCCACAATGATCACCCTCTGCCCTATTACTATCACAGGTGTAGATGAATCCCATCTTTGAGGCGTACAGATGAGCTATTCATAACCTAATTGAAATAGCTGCTTTTAATTTTACTTAATGGTAAATTCTTTTAAAAAAATATCGCCTCCCCTTACTAGTTGTTGAGGTCCTAAAGAACAGTGTCTCTATCACGTTTGTTTATTTTATTGTAAATGGTTTGAAAGGTTGGAGCAGAGACTCCTGGAACCCTTTCCAAAGCTAAAATCATGATTGGGGCAAGGCAGGAAGTTCATGCACCCAAGGAATTAAAGGGTAAACATAATCAAACCATTTTGCTGAATTTATCATCATATCCATGCAATGATATAATTCTTAGTACATGGCAAACACTCCAAATAAATCTTTGCTAAATTGTACTCTAAATTAAATCACAGGAATGAATAATCATGAATCTGCAGTCTGTGGCAGGTCCTCGGGCCAGAGCACATGAGTACATGTGTCCTTTTTTAGATTATAGGCTGATGGCCTGACCTAGCTGTTACTTTTAAGACAATGGAGACTATTTTTAAAAGCTCAAAGAGTACATCCACTAATTTTTATGTATGCAATGTTTTTCCACATGTTTTTTTACAAGTTCTTATTAAAAAGAACAAAACATTTTTTCTCAGGACTATCAAAGTTTCCTTGAAAATAAGAGAAAAAATAAAACAGGATTGATAGCTCAAGGGGAAATTTTAAATTGTTCTAGGTTTGGAAGGGAGCCAGGACTTGATGAAGTGGAATACAGGGGAGCCAGAGTTGACTGTGCCAGAAAGGGAGAATTTCTGCAAAGGAAGCAGCTACTGTTAAGAAAGCAAGAGTCATGTCAGGCATGGGCACGTGTGATTCCTAGAATGTGCTGAGGCGGGACAGGGAAGTGAGATGGATCATCATGCTCAGTCTTCTGATGATATAACTCCCTAGGAGTTAGATCATTAAACTCATTAAACTACATAGTGACCAGGCTCTCCTGGAAGAAACTCCCATGGGGTCTGGGAAATATTTTTTAATAAGAGATACAGGTAATTCTATCCTCAGAA